CTTTTCAATAAAAGAGCAATTTCTTCCATCTCTGGGTCACAAGACAGGTCTCCAGACTAACTTTTTCCCTTGGTTGCACTGGTGCGCCTAACATTTTTATTTAGGTGCACCAGCACAAAATTTAGGTGCACCCAAATTTTTCCTCGGCTTGCGTCACCTTTAACGCTACAATTTCAAGGTCACCTTTTTATCACGTTCCATATACAATCATATATATTATGTAAATTATTTTAAACAAGAATAAGGGGTAGGTAAATACTTTTTTTTTTTTGAAGCACAATTATACTGTATATAAAAATCTTTTTTTAAAAATAAAAAAATGTTTAAAGTGCTTCACTGAGCTGCCAAACTAAAACATTTTAAGCAAAATAAAACATTTATTTTAGAAATAGAAATAGAAAGTGCTACTGTTTAAAAGTGCTTCTCTGAACTGATGGCTGAAGTTGCTCCATGTCTGGGCTGTTGTCGGAGCATTGACCGGGGAGAGTGTTGGAGTGAACAGGCCTACTTTTCTTAAAGAAAAAACTCTCTATGTGTCTATTTCTTTTCATTGTTCGTCGTCTGTTTTCTTGCGTTTATTTTGCTGATGCTGATTGCCGTGGCCTCGTTTACACTGGAGGTCTTGATGCCCAATTCTGATTTGTTGCCTATATCCGATTTTATCCTGACATAGATCTGAAACATCGCGCATGTTTAAAGGGGGTTCTTCTTGCACAGATGGACGAACGCGCAGCGAGAGAGATCTCAGGACTGGTGGGAACAAACAACACGATCTCATGAAAGTGTGTATCTATAGCACAAATTTTATTTCTCGTGCAATTTATACGCCAAAAATATTTTTTGCGTGCATATGATACGCACTGTAAACGTGCATATTAAACACTATAAAGTGCGTATCATATCCACGCAAAAACTATTTTTGACATAAATGGCACGATAAATAAAATTTGTGCAATAGACCCACTTTCATGAGATCGTGGCGGGCTTTAACGAGAAGCAGTGGGTTGAGCAAGCCAACCTTTGATATGTTGTGTCAACGTTTGTCCACATTCCTCTCCTACGACGACACAACGTTTCGTCGGGCCATCCGTCCCTTTGCAGATGCGCGCATTCGGCGCTGCTCTCGTCTCGTCATTAAACCGCGGAGACGTAGCCTAATGCCTCAGAAAATCCGATCTGCCTGTTTACATGATAGTCGCATTGGCACATATCTGATTTATATCTGACTTATTTCCACATATGAACGAGGCCTGAAACTGATCTCGAAATATCCGAATGCAAATATTTTTTTCCAGTTTTTTCCACGGTCAACACATCCGATCTGTCACATATGAGCAAAAAATCGGAATTGGGTCACATTTCACTGACAGTTTAAACGAGGACTGATTCTCTGGTGCTCAGGTCGCTTTGTTCGTGAACAAGCGCTTCGTTCGTGGATAGGCAGCGGATGCGAGGACGTTAGGTGCACCGGTGCGACCTAGGAAAAATTTTAGTCGCACCCTTACAAATTTTGGTCGCACTCTAGAGCCCTGCAAGAGGGCGCGGATGGCAGTGAGCGACGCTTCCATGCCTTGCCACTCCCATCCCCCTCTCTCATCGCCAGCGGGCAGCAGTGTGCGGCTCAGGGACGCCATCAGGCCTCCCTTCGGGCTGCCTCAGTGCCTCTCGAGCCGAGTCTCTGTGTTCCACCTTGCTGCCCCACCCCAGGTAAGTCTGTGGTCCCGTTGGTCCCGCTTGCACTGTGTCTGGAAGCCTGGCTAGTGCTTCCTAGCCCGTCTCGCTGGCTCATCCGTACCATCAGACATGGCTATGCGAATCAGTTCGCCTGGTGCCCACCCAAGTTCAGGGGCATCCACTTCACCTCTGTGCGGAGTTGCGATGCCCCTGTCTTGCGGGCAGAGATCAATGTCCTACTGGTCGAAGGACGCGATCGAGCTGGTCCCTCCAGCCGATATGGAGACAGGGTTCTACATCCCCTACTTTATTGTACCCATGAAAGGCGGTGGGTTGCGACCGATCTTGGACCTGCGAACCTTGAATCGGGCCCTGCACAAGCTCCCGTTCAAAATGCTAACGTTGAAACGTATTTTCGAATGCATCCATCCCCAAGATTGGTTTGCAGCGATCGACCTGAAGGACGCGTACTTTCATGTCTCGATTCTCCCTCGACACAGACAGTTCCTACGCTTTGCGTTTGAGGGACAGGCATATCAGTACAAAGTCCTACCCTTCGGGCTGTCCCTGTCGCCCCGCATCATCACGAAAGTTGCGGAGGCAGCCATTGTTCTGCTCCACCCGAGGGGTCTTCACCGCCGTGGCCGCCCGAGGGCTCTTCACCGCCGTGGCCGTCTGCACAGTCTGCTTCACCCTGGCCGCCCGAGGGATCATCTCAGTTCTGACCGCCCTGGTGTCCTGCACAGCTTGCACTACCCTGGCTCACAGTCAGGAATCCAAACCCTCCCGTCGCTCCCTGGCTCCTCTCCCTCCCTCCCCTCTCTGTACTGGTGTTTTGATCTGCTTGTCTTGTCTTCTGTTGGTCTTGTACGTTGGATGTTCCTGTCTTGTTTTTGGTGTCTCTCCTTGGGAACGCCAGGTGGCATCCCTTTGATGGGGGGTAGTGTCACAGTTCTGTCACCCTTGTCTGGGTTTTCTCTTGGGTTAGTGACAGAGCTGTGACACTCCCGGTTTGTCATGTGTTTGTGTTTGTCTAGTCTGTTGTGAGCACATGGCTGCCATGTTATTTCCTTGTGCCATGTGCTCTCCTGTCTATTGTCTAACCCCGCCCATCTTGTTATCTCGTTATTGGTTTATTTCCCCCACCTGCCTGCCTTGTTACCTCTTTTGTTTGTTGCCCTATTTAATCTCCCTGTGTCTTCAGTCCTGTGCTAGTTCGTTGTCAATGTTACGTGTTCTTGTGTTCCTTCCCGTTGTATCAGAGTTTTGGAGTTTGTACCTGGCCTGTCTGTTATTTAATAAATCACTCTGCAACTGAATCCTCGTCTCTCGTCTACCATTTCGTGACACAAAGTCTTTAGTTTCTGTACTAAAGCTTCCCTCTTTTCTTCTGCCATGTCAGTGCACCTCTTCACAATTGTCACATGGCGGGGAATAACAGAGTTTACAGGAACCCTCCCATACGCAGCCCCGACATGAATTAGTTCTTGCGCCAGCTCTTCAAACCCCTCACCATTTACGATATTAAAAGGCCTAATGTCTTTACAGCAAAAGCTGACACACTTCCCCGTCACCGTTTGTTTTACCTTTGCAGGGATGGGTGTTTATGCTGTAACAAAAGATGTGATTGTAGATTGATCTTTGGCACTGGCAGGTGTTGAACAGCTTCGATCAACATGCCTTATCAGCGACGAATTCCCGGTCGTTTTGCTGTCGTACTTTAACAGAATGTCGCGTCTTTTGCATTTCACATAACCCACTGGCTCATTATTCTCATTATGCACATGGTCAAAAGTTTTCCACACCTTAGACTTTGCTTTCTTTGCCGGTGCAACCAAAACGTAATCGCCAGAGGCCAGCCTCCGTTTCACCTCCTCAGCATCCATTTTCGCGCTAATCGAAACGCATCACCTGACCGCTCATTTACCATGCAACCCGGAGCGCAAGCCCGAGCCCGGCCCAAGCCCAAGCCCGTGTAAAATGATAGAAATTAAGACCGAACCCGTCGGGTCCCGTCAGGTTTGGGCAAAGATCTTCAGCTTCTACGAGGGGACCCTCGGCACAGAAGCACAGGCGCACAGCTGGCCCCGGGGCCTACGCAATTATGCGTTTCCCCCAGTGAGCCTTCTCGCACAGACACTGTGCAAAGTCAGGGAGGACAGGGGAAGGACTGTGAGGAAGGACCTGTTCTCAGAGACGGGGCACTTTATGGCAGGTTCTAGGTGACCTTCCCCAGGCGGTGGTAGACACCATCACTTCTGCTAGAGCCCCCTCAATGAGGCGCCTCTTTGCACTGAAGTGGAACCTGTTCGTTGAATGGTGTTCTTCCCACCGGGAAGCCCCCCGAAGATGTCCGATCACAGTCGTGCTTTCTTTCCTGCAAGATGGGTTGGAGCGAAGGCTGTCTCCCTCCACCCTCAAAGTGTATGTTGCCGCTATCGCCGCACATCACGATGCAGTTGAAGGTAAATCACTGGGAAAGCATGACCTGATCGTCAGGTTCCTGAGGGGAGTGAGGAGACTGAATTCGGGCCGGCCAACTCTAACGTTGTCCTTAGACCCCGGCCTGGATACGTGACCAAGGTTCCTACCACTCCCTTCAGGGACCAGGTAGTGAACCTGCAAGCGCTGCCTTCGGAGGAGGCAGACCAAGCCCTAGCTTTTCTCTGTGCCGTTCGCTCCTTGCGGTTTTACGTGGACAGAACGCAAAGCTTCTGGACCTCAGATCAGCTCTTTGTCTGTTACAGAGACCAGCAGAAGGGAAAGGCTGTCTCCATGCAGAGGTTAGCCCACTGGATAGTGGATGCCATTGTCTTGGCGTATCAGTCCCAAGACATGCCTTGCCCGTTCGGGTTGCGAGCAAACTTAACTAGAAGTGTTGCTTCCTCCTGAGTGCTGGCTCAAGGAGCCTTGCTAACAGATATATGTAGAGCTGCGGGCTGGGCAACACCTAACACATTTGCTAGATTCTATAGTCTCCTTGTAGAGCGTATACTTGCCCCCAGTGGCCAGTAGCGCGAAGGACCATCAGATGCTCACGCCGCGATGCACAGCAGCTGGTGCAATTATCGTATGCCAATGTGCATTGGCTCGTTTAGTTACACTCGAAGTAGATAGGCTCTCAAGCGAGATCCCCATTCGTCAGAATCACTTCTGACGTACATCTCCATTCCCTCCTCGGGGAACGAGGGTTACCATACGTAACCAAGATGGTTTCTTTTATGTCCAAAAAGGCTTTATAGCAGAAATTATTTTAGATTCTGTGGTGACAGTAAGGGGCACTAACTGTGGTGGTTAGGGTTGTTTGCAAGGGGAGGGCTGGTCCTATGAGAAGCACTTTGATATTGCACTGTTGATGAGAGAGTGTGTGCAGAGTGAGAGTGAGAGAGCGAGAGAGAGACAGAACGACAGCAGAGCGCTCTGTAAACAGGCTGTCAGAGAAGAAAGTGCAGGGACATTTTCATCCGCTACAGCCAAAGGAGTGCGTTGCATGCAACACTGAAGGATAATCACAAGAGGCAGAGAGAGAGAGAGGGCGAGAGAAGGTTTAATTAATTCATGCAGGAGGGGAGGGATGTTTCTGCCGCTGACTGAGCTCAAAAAAGCATTTTGTTTGTGAGCAGTCTGTGCTCTGAGCACCATCACCTGAACAAGCAGAGGTATAGGGTAAGATTTGTCTTTCTTTCTCTCACGCACATCTGTTCTCTGCGCTCTCATGTGTTTTCTCTGTGCATGTACCGATAAATGCTGTATGCCGAGCCAGTGACCCTTTTTTTTCCCTCTCACGGTGTCTGTTCTCTATGGTTCTGTCAGTCAGCAACGAAAGCCTGCGGATCAGAAACTGTCACACCAAAACATGCACATTTATCAAGGCTTTTTAACTTGTGAGTCTGGATTAATTGCTGCGCTTTGTGTTGATTTTGTTTTTTGTCTCAGTTGCACCATCTTCATCGTCTTGCAGGAGAGGATTTTAGGTGTTTCCTGTGCTTTGTTGAGTTCACGTGTAGGATGTTGCCTGCTTAGTGCTTTTGTTATGGTCTACATTGTCATAGTTTGTCTGCCATGTCAGAGCTGAGTGCAGATAGTGTTTATATTTCACATTCAGCTGAGAGATCAATAGAGTTGGATGATGGATAGATGGCTTGTGGATGGATTCTTTTGATATGGGGGGAAATTCAGCTCGACTATTTGACCGGGTTTGTTTGGCATCTTTCGTGATGCCCTGGGGTGGCCCACAATCTCTGTTGTGAGGGAATGCAATCAATTTTGATGTGTGCGATGATTCATTCTCTTCACAAACCTGTGCTATCATGTGGTCGGGAGATGCTGGTAAATATCCAATCAGCTTGCTTAATTAAGGCTCATCATGTAATCACCAAAAGCACTGGGTCTTCATGTCTCAACAGGATCTCTGAAGCAGGAACAGCTTGAGCGTTGTGTGCGTGTGTGTGTTTTCATGGGTAGAAGCTTTGAGCCTTTTCTCTATAGCTGCTTGAAGACGCGATTCATGTTTTCAGTCCTCAGAGAGGGCATGCCGAATGCTTGTGTGCATGTTTGCAATGTTTTACTCAGTAATTAGACATGCTCTGAGTCATTATAAAAAGACACACTGAGTAGAAATATAAAGAAAGAGAAAAGATTGCTCATGACTTACCCAAGGTCAAAAACAGCAGTCAGCCACAGAGTATCTTAATGGAGTCTACGATAAACGAGAGCCTGAATAAACACTTACTGATCATACTGTTTTCTTTGGCATCTTTACTATGCCGCTCTTGTGTAGATGAATATGTTTCTGTCTGGTAGAGAAGCACAGTGTTTTGTCCTGGTGTCCTCACTTGAAGTATGTAGTATGTGTACACATAATGGGAGACACACTGAGGGTCTGTGTTAGGGTCTGTGTCTGTTAGTGAGAAACTTTTTTTAAATAAATAGAAAGGGAGCTATGCATGTTGTTTTATTTAGAATAATTGTTGGCACGCATTACAATATAGTGCTGTGGCTTTCTGTACATTAGTGTCTGTCTTCTTCCTATTTCCAAGTAGGTACTTCACGTTATTGTCATTTACTTTATAGTTCCTGCAACAACAACAACAACAATAATAATAGCAGTAGTAATAATAATAATAATAATAATAAATATAACAACAATTTAACATGAATATAATTGTTTTATATGATTTTTTTATATATTTTAATATTTTTTAAATTATATTATTAGATAATTTTATTAAATATTAGCTGCATAATATAATTATATTTATTTCATATAATAATTATTATATATGAATGCATTAAATAATAATTACTTTACTAACATTTTTCTGAATTCAGAGATATATAAATATTATTTGAAATATGTGTTATATATTTTTTTTAATTTAGCTCTTTTCCACTTTGATCATTTGGGTTGTGCTCTGTTGTTGATGTTCAGTTACATTAATAGACATTCAGGCTGGATCAGTAGGTTTCCCATAGCTGGGAATCAGAGCAGGTCTTGCCTGGCTTTTCCATGTCATTGCATTGCAATTTCGAACCAAACCCTCCTGTTGCCATGACGTCCAACCCCTCTGTAAATACTCCCAGGATTCTTTGAGCATTTAGGCCCCAGGAGAGAGAGAGAGAGAGAGAGAGAGAGAGAGAGAGAGAGAGAGAGAGAGAGAGAGAGAGAGAGAGAGAGAGAGAGAGAGAGAGAGAGAGAGAAAAAGATTGCTCATGTTTTTTTTTGTCAGCTCAGAGAGTCACTTAAGGAATGGTAAAAAGCTTAATTTATTCTAGGGAGAGGGAGCAAGACAGCGCTCGTGTTGTTTGAAGACGTGAGAGTGCGCGCGCGCGGCCGGGGCGCTCTCTCTCTCTCTCTCTCTCTCTCTGCTCGTAACGCGCCCTGTCAAGCGCAGCAGTAGTTCTATTCTACATCACTCATCGATCAAAAAAAGGCTTTGGAGGGACAAAAATGTGCTTTGGCGGCGGCCAAAAAGCTGGCGATCTGGCGGTTTTAGAGGATTAAATACAACCCGAAACTAAAAAACAGACCCGGCCTCTATTTGAGACCGGCCTTTATTTACCCAAACCTGCAGCCACACCAGGCGTGTAAAAGAGACAGGCGTCTATTTGGGACTCGGCTATTATTTGAAGTTTTACGGTAGATATTTAAGACTGGTGAAGCATGTAGATACATAATTGGATGCTGCATGATACCATTTTGAGAAATAGAGAATAGTTTTCCCAGTGTTATGAATGAGGGTGTTCAGCCTCCAACATTAAATAAAATGTATTTATACATCATTTAAACTTTTAATAAAGAAAGTTTTGTAAAGAAACTGTTTACATAGATTTTCTGACGTGGTGCAAATGAAAAGAAACTTGCATGCCTAAATAATGGTAAATTTGTGTTTTGAGATTGATCGTTAAATGCATGCCCATTTACAATTGCTTAATTTCAACAGTGCATGTCAAATTCTCTTTCCTTGTACTGTTTCATCAGCCATTACATTGTTTTGGACCATTAAAGGTTCTCTAAGCGATCCTGGGCGACGTCACTTCTTGGTGACGTTTGAACTATTGTCAAACAAAACGGAGGCTAGCTAGACCCTCCCTCCTCCTCATCTGCACACTAACCCCCCAAAACACACCCCCAAACCCTTCTTGTCGGTCATTGGCTGGAACAGTTTGTTATGTTTCGTGGAGCGGGTCGCTGCAGTTTGTTTTTGTTGCTGTTTGTGGAGCCTGGGCTGTCTACAGAGATCGCGTTTCTTTACAGTGTGTTCAGGGGACAGGCAGCCAGCGGATAGTGAGGAGATGTTTGCTGTATGTGACAAAAAATGTTTTGGCCTAAAAAACGCGTGACATCGCTTAGAGCACCTTTAAGGATACCATGCTAAATATCAGTTCAGTCACACACTTTACTAATACATAAGTGGCAAATACAGCTGTAAGTAATTATATTTGTGAACATCGTAAAGAATTGCTTTGTGGTAACACGCACTTAAAGGGTTAGTTCACCCAAAAAATTTCATTAATGACTCACCCTCATGTCATCCCAAGCCCGTAAGACCTCCGTTCATCTTCGGAACACAGTTTAAGATATTTTAGATTTAGTCAGACTCAGAGAGCTTTCTGTCCCTCCATTGAAAATGTATGTACGGTATACTGTCCTTGTCCAGAAAGGAAATAAAGACATCATCAAAGTAGTCCATGTGACATCAGTGGGTTAGTTAGAATGTTTTGAAGCATCGAAAATACATTTTGGTCCAAAAATAACAGAAACTACGACTTTATTCAGCATTGTATTCTCTTCCAGTTCTGTTGTCAATCCGCATTCACGAGTCCGCAGTGACGCTACTGACGTTAGACGCTGCTGACGTGTATCTGGTGCGTCCGTGTATTCGGGTTCAAATAAATATGGCTGGGCAAAAAAATGCAAGTCTTCCTCTGTGTTGAAATCCTTAGACATGTTTGCGAAGATTGTTTTGTTTACAGCGTGCGTCTCCCTCAGACTGTAAACGAAGCTCGGGCGACGGGCGCACTGATGACACGTCAGCAGCGTTTTACGTCACCAGCGTCACTGAACGCGGATTGACAACAGAACCGGAAGAGAATACAATGCTGAATAAAGTAATTTTTGTTATTTTTGGACCAAAATGTATTTTCGATGCTTCAAAACATTCTAACTAACCCACTGATGTCACATGGACTTACTTTGATGATGTCTTTATTTCCTTTCTGGACAAGGACAGTATACCGTACATACATTTTCAATGGAGGGACAGAAAGCTCTCAGACTAAATCTAAAATATCTTAAACTCTGTTCCGAAGATGAACGGAGGTCTTACGGGCTTGGGACGACATGAGGGTGAGTCATTAATGACATAATTTTCATTTTTGGGTGAACTAACCCTTTAAAGCGTCGTCAAAGTTGTTTTTGATGTGAGAAAAGAGAACTCTAAAAGGCATGTCATGTAAATGCATCAGAGTCACAACAATGAAGTAAGCACAATTTTCAGTTTTGTGTTGGGAGTTACTGTAAATGCTCCGGTCTGCTCTTTAGGCCTGGACATGCTACGCCGATTCTGCTTCTGTGAAATCAATAGGAAAAAAAATATCTTTACCCAGACAGCAATGCCCAAACAGACCCAGAAGAAGATCCATACCTAAATGCCCTCAGTGCATCTATCAATCAGACAACATTTCTACTTAAGTAGTGTGTGAGATACTTAGCTTTTTTTCTTTTTGATTTGTTCCACTGTTCCTTCTGCAGCTCTTCTGTGGCCTTAAATTATAAAAGGGGCCGGGCCGCTGGTTTGTGGACAGAGCATGAGTCCTGCTGTACATAGATAGATATTCATAGATCCACTGAAAACATTGAGTTGTAAGAGAAAATGTTATATCATGCCGATATAAAATGTGTATGAATTTATTAGATAAAGTGTACATTTTTAATTCTAAATAAAATAAAAGGTCCCACTTTATATTAAGTGGCTTTAAGTACTATGTACTTACATCGAAAAGTAGGTACAATGTACACTGAACAAAATTATGTACGCAACACTTTTGTTTTTGCCCCCATTTTTCATGAGCTGAACTCAAAGATCTAAGACTTTTTCTATGTACACAAAAGGCCTATTTCTCTCAAATATTGTTCACAAATCTGTCTAAATCTGTGTTAGTGA